GCTCCTTTTCCAGTCTAGAATTCCAGCTGTCGACATTCTCCCTCTTCATGTAAACCTTATAAATAAGAGAGAATAGACATAAGTATTGTGATATAATGTGTAATAACAGCCCATAATGCAATAAATATCAATATAAAAGCATGATACAAAATGAATGTATCAAAACCCAAGTGAATTCTATCCCGCCAGAAAGACGGTTAAGCAGACTTACTGAGAAATCACATCTCCCCGTTTTAGAGATGGCCAAAAAAATCTAAATTGTATTCCTCTTACACTCCGCAATAAATAAATATTTAGCCAAGTCACCAAGACCTCTGCTATTAAAAGATATTCCATGCATTCATGGGGAAATAATAGGAGATCTACAAAAATCCGTCCTCTTATGGGACTTACTAACTTTTTTTCAAACGTGCGGTCTTTGATTTGCGTCCGGAGGCTGTAAGCTCAATCAAAGAACTAAGCCCGGCCGGGTTCATCTAGAGCCACATCCGAAACTGCTCCTACTAAGTGAGAGCGTAGCTGACCATCTGATGTGGCATGCAACTCCTCCTCCTCAGTATGGGAGGCAAAAGACTTGCTACAAAAACGTGAAATAACTTTTAATCGATTATATTCCAAATGTTTCAAAGCGTTTGTCGAAATAGAAATATCCATCCCGTTCTTTCCAAGACTAGCACCCACATTATTCAACTTAAAAACGATGGTAGTATTGGAAAAAACTAGAAAGGATTTCGGTGATGACGTAATACCATGGTTGTCGAGGTTATGCGCTGCTTTAAGCCGCATAGCCTTGGCCAAGGAGTCTTCATCTGTTCGCTATATACATTGTCATTGCGACATAAAAGGGTTGAAATGAGTTCGCTAAGGCGGTTATACACAGGGATCGGGTCAGGTCTTTCCTGGAGACGCTCCTGATTTCCTCGTTATGATCCTGGTGAAGGATGCAACACAGTTGAATAAAATATGCAACCTTTTTTTGCGTGAAGATGTAACCATCATTCAATAAATTTGGTATGAAGTAAGAAAAGAAGGCAGACGCCACTGTTCGACCGCCATGGGGCTGAAGTCTACCATTTTTCTTGAGCCTATGAATTTTATTTTTCAATTTTTACAATGAACCACAAGGAACCATGGAAAAATTTAGGCAACCATTAACACATCAGAGAAGGCTTAGAACACAAGGTGTTTAGGCTGTCCGTTGTGCCTAAAAAAATAATAATTTGCGAGGGAGCCTAAAAATAAAATTTGTTCCAAAGGCAAACCGTACTTACCTAAATCACAGTCAACATTCAGATCGATGGCGGCTCGCATTTCTGCTTTTAGAGAAGGTCAAGGTCTCATACCATTTTGAGGCTCTCGATTAACTGCCTTCTTCATTTTGTCTCATCCCTGCTACTAATTCCCTCAAATTTTCTCTTGCGTAGCACACAAGTTTGGGCAGGCAACTTCTACCACGGTGTTCTCCATGGGATCTTTTTGGGAGTACATGGTGTTCTGACTACTAATAGGTGCCAAAATTAAACATGTATACATGTCCTTTCTAAGAGATCTTAGACACGTGTATGAGCCTACTTAAATCAAAAGTTGTATACTAAACACCGCCAGAAATACTTTTTTTAAACACAGTGCAGATGCAAGCGCTCATACATACGTGCATATACCCATCCATATGAACAGGTGATGTTGGGCATTAGCTGTTTTGTTTGAGGTGGACAGATGCCGGTTGTGTATAATTAGTGGGGTGTACCATTAAACTCGGACAGTGATATCAAGATTATCAGCGGCTGCTGCTGCTTCTTATGGACTCATCCCTGGTATTAAACGGTATTGCATAAAACATTCCAATTAATGAACAGTGACCTGCTGGCTGAGGGTGGCTAGTCTAGCTGGTGACATCAAAATTCCACTTTTGTTTCTTTCATAATTCATGGAGGGCACAAGGACAACATATCCTCCTTTTTAATTAGTACTAATATGTCGTCATCATAACACTTTGTATTGACACAGTTATCTTGGTACACTAATAGTAATACTACTAGCCACATGTTTGCCACGCACAACTCATCATTTCAGTTTTGTGCTATCATGCTAATTAAGTGAGCCCTTTCCGGTTCATGCGAGAACTGGCTTTTTCCATGTGAATCTGTTGTATGATACGGTCTGGAATTTGCTGACTGATTGTCTTGAGTGTTTTAGATTTGACTAAAACATCAATTTCCTGACTGATTTTCTTCCATGGAGTAGACACTAGTTAATGAAAATAGCAATGCCCTTTTCTTCATAATGTCTATCGATGGTCCCAAGCATGACCACAATGATTGTGGTTTCTCTAGCTAAGTGCCCATGTCGAACTACGCTCTTAACACCCCAAAAAGCTCCTAATTGTCTTAACATAGCTTAAGCAGATAATGACACCATGGAGATAGTTATATTACCCCTTCTAAGTCACAACATGTTAAATTTGTGTTGAGTATTTGTGTAGGGTTACAATTGAATTTAAGCTCTTAGTTGTCTTTAACATAGCTTAAGCAGATGACGACATCATGGAGATAGTTATAATACCCCCTCAAATACATGTAACCTAAGCCTTTTATTCCCTGCAAAAAAAAACTAAGCCTTTTATACTCCCTCCGATACATATTAATTGTTGTACTAAATCAGCAACAATTGATATGTACTGGAGGGAGTACAAGATAACACAAAATAAAAAAAATACTTGACAAAATCGGTAGTCATAAACACTGGGTCACCAGAGGGATAATCTATTCGCTCGTCACAGGGTGGCTAGACCTGCCATGGTAGTGGTTAGAGGTGTCGTCTATCAAATTATGTTAATTAATGTAATAACACAAATGAATATTCAGCCAAGAGCTCAAGAAGATCTAGGCTTCTCCAGACTCATGAGTTTTTCCATGTTTTTGCTTGCCTTCTTCTGATTTCCTTTTTCCAATTCACTTCTTTTTCGTATTTTTCTTGTGCTGAGTGGACTGCTATGTGTATGAAACCACCACTATTCCATCGATTGCAATAGTTTTCTTTTGCGGTGACGATTGTAACACTTTGACTGATATGTAGCGCTAAAGTTTCCCCATGTCAAAAGTTTAGAGTTAGAACTTAGAACCCAATGACCATGTCTAGAAATCGATGTATCATTGAGGAACCAACAATGAAGTAACATTATTCCATCGGTTGTACGTAAGCTATAACACTTTTGACTGAGACCTAGAGCTAAAGTTTTTCTAGTCTCATAGCATTAAGGTTATATAACCGAATGACCAAATCAAGAATGGACAGATATATAACTGCGGCATGAATTTCTTTGATTTCCTCTCATTTCTACCCACTTTTAAAGGTATAGGTTTGCACGGCTCCGGTGAGGGAGCGTGATGATGCCGGTGCGCCTTCGGCTCGCTCCAGTGCTTCTAGTCGTCGCTAGGTGGTCTAAGAATATGGATGTAATTTTTGTTACTTCTCGTTTTCTTTGTACTTCCATGATGTTCAATGAATAGATTGGAAATTTTTCCGGCAAAAAAAGAAGAAGCCACCACTATTCCGTTGGTTGTAATAGTTTTGTTTTACGGGGATGATTGCAACACTTTGACTGGTATCTAGCGCTAAAGTTTCCCCATGTCAAAAGTTTAGAGTTAGAACTCAGAACCAGTGACCAAATCTAGAAATCGACATATCATTGAGGAACCAACAATGAAGTAACATTACCCCATCAATTGTACGTAAGCTATAACACTTTTGACTGAGACCTAGGGCTAAAGTTTTTCTGGTTTCAAAGGTTTAGGGTTGTAGAATCGAATGACCAAATCAAGAACGGACAGATATATAACTGCGACATGAATTTCTTCGATTTCCTCTCGTTTCTTCCAACTTTCAAAGGTTTGTTTGCGCGGCTGCGGTGAGAAAGGGTGATGACGACGGTGCGCCTTCGGCTCGTTCCGGTGCTTGTAATCGTCGCTAGGTGGTCTACGAATATGGATGTAGTTTTTGTTACTTCTCGTGTTCTTTATACTGCCATGATGTTCAATGAATAGATTTGAAATTTTTCCTGAAAAAAAAAGGAAAGAAACCACCACTATTTTGTTGATTGTAATAGATTTCTTTTGCAGGCATGATTGTAACACTTTAATTGGTATCTGGCGCTAAAGTTTCCCCATGTCAAAAGTTTAGGGTTAGAACTTAGAACCCAGTGACCAAATCTAGAGATCGACATGTCATTGAGGAACCAACAGTGAAGTAACATTATTCCGTCGGTTGTAACACTTTTGACTGAGACCTAGGGCTAAAGTGTTTCTAGTCCAAAAGTTTAGGGTTATAGAATCGAATGACCAAATCAAGAATGGACAGATACATAACCTCGGCACTGAATTTCTTCGTTTTTCTCTCATTTCTACTTCATCAAGAAACCTATTTTTCATGGTAAAAAGTGTCGAGGGAAGGTCACGTCGATATCTCAAGCAACCTACCTTGTAGCCTTTCTCTCTCGACTGCAGATCACGCAAGCTAAACGTGGAAACTCTTAGTCAGTGTACCAGAACGCGCGTATCAAGAAAAGCGGGCTTAAAAGCTTACCAATTCCATGCATCTATCGTATGAGCTTGCCAGATATGTATGGCATGACACGCAAGCCCGTGCTGACCTCCTGCCTAAGATCTCATGCACATATATGTGGAACTAAATCGGCCAACCCCGGGTGACCACGTCGTGAGCTAGCAGATGAGCACAAAAAGAACAATTTGAAGACCATTATATTGCGCCAATAATTCTCCGTGGCATCAATGTCCTGCGGTCTGTGGCCATCACACGACGTGACCCTTCTTTAAATACCGCGGTTGCTACTCTTCCGCTCCAGTCAGATGCAGAGATCCATTAGTTTGCTAGGCCAAGAAGAAGCGCCCAAGAGCACTAGAATTTTACAGAACGAGAAAGGAGGAGAGGTAGGGCGATCGATGGACATGAGCGGGGATACGTATCACTATCAGCCGGCGGGGATGGAGGAGGACGGTGTCGGCCGTGGCGAGCAGGTCCCGACGGCCGCGCCGGTGCTGAGCGCCAAGAAGCTGTGGCGCATGGTGCGCGCCGTGCACCTTGTGCTCGTCAGGGGCCTCGGCAAGCACCAGCCCAAGCTCGCGGCGCTCGGCGTGAACCTGCACCACATGCTGTCGTCGTCCAAGCGCCATCACAACCACCTGCCGTCGACGCGGGACCAGGATCCGGCGTTCACGACGTACCTGGCGGCGGCGTTCTCGTGCCGGTCCATGGACCCGGGCGCCGCGGTGCACCCGTACCCGCGCGGCCGCGGCGTGCACAGTGGCAGGGGCGGCGCGTCCTCGCTCTCGTCCACGCTCTCGTGCCGGTCCATGGACCCAGGCGCCGCCGTGTACCAGCAGTACCAGTACCGGCCCCGCGAGGTCGAGTTCAGCTGCAGCAGCCCGCCGCTGCACAGGCGCAGCCGCCGCGCGCACCGGCACCGGGGCCAGAGCCTGCTCCCGCAGCAGCAACACGGTGACCTTCCGGAGTACACCTCGGCTCCTGCGGTGAAGACGCTGTTCGAGCTGATGGACGACGTGGAGGAGGAGGAGGACGTGGAGGGCGCGACGGTGCCTTGGGCGGCCGGGCGCGGGCCGGCGCCGCGGCAGGTGCGGATCACGGACTCGCCGTTCGCGGCGAGGGCGGAGGACGACGAGGAAGGGCGCAAGGGCGTGGTCGACCGGCGCGCCGATGAGTTCATCGTGTGGTTCCACGACCAGCTGCGCATGCAGCAGCAGCAGCGCCCCGCCGCGAGGGATCGCGCCGCGCACTTTGTTAGATGATTACAGTACACGCCATGCATGCGCGCATGCACGCATGGGTAATCATAATTCATAATTTTTTTTGCGGGGGATAATTCATAATACTCCTTCGAATGTTGTTGTTCAGATTTTGTCATGGCGGAACAAGCTTATTAGCGTCTCTGATTTCAATTTCCCCCCTCTCATTTGGATGATGCCGTGATAATTAATACTAGTAGAACTTCCGTAGAAATTCTGGAGTTGTCAACTGTTCCTATAAATTTTTGATGTTACCCTTTATTTATAAAAAAATAAATTTTGATTTTACCCTTTAGTTGACAGCAACAGCATCAAGGCTAGGGGCCAGAGACGAGGGCTCCCGCCGGCGAAAACCATCGGGTACAAGTATACTCAAAATCAATCTAATCCAAATTTTCATTTGAGTTTAATATAGGATTGGCTTAAATATGACTTATATGCGGGTTTCATGAGATGCCCAATTGGATCCTTACTAGGGGTCAATGAGATACTGAAGATTGTTGTATGATACTAAAAGAAGGGCGACTCAGGTTCCTCGTAAGAGCTTCCACCGTCGGTACACCTCATCTTCGGGTGCCTTGCGGCATTGGTGAGATGCTTGGAACCATGATCTAGAGTGGTGGTGTGGTCTCACTTCGCCCTAGCAATAGCTAGGGTTTAGTCTAGGCGTCTCGTTGGTTGTGGTGAAACGATAGCGCCGTCGGCAGCGAGGGATAAGATCTTCTCATCATGTCCTCGTTTTGACAATGATGTTTGGCATTGCCGGAGGGCATGTGAAATTTTGGGGTCTCATTATTGCTTTATTTCACCTAAGTGACTTGCAAAGTGGATGGCATCGCGACTTGATTTTGTTTTGGTCCTTTTTCGCCCCATGAAGCTCAGGTAGATGTGGCTGCGTCAAAATATTGTAAAGGTCATAACAATAAAAAATAAGTCAGTGTTAAGGTTTCTCCTATAGCTGTGTATGCGCACTTGGGATGATAATATGGAGCAATAATACATCGGTAGGTAATAAGATATACGTTACCACGACCGACTACCGCCGCATCGAAGATTGGATTGTCCAACCTTGGCCCAATCTGACTCATAGGGTTACCTCGGTTATTAAGGATAAACTAAACCAATGCTTTAGCGTTTGATGAGCGCATCAGTCTCTCCCAAGAATTAGTTCTAGCTACCGTATGACTCAATTGTCATCCATTTTTGCTATAACCTTTCCACTCTCCCATGCCCTTTACATCTCCTTGTACCAATATTTGGTGTCTCGGGTACCGGCGAGCCGTAAGATTGAGATAGAGACAAGAGATAAATAATTCGACAAAAAAGATAAAGTAAAGTCATACTGTCAATCCCTTCTTTCCCATACACGAGGCGGCGAGACTATGCCTCGGCCATTAGCCCAAGGGGATTACTTACACATGCGATAGAATCACAAACAATTGACATTCTATAAAAAGATACTTCATAGTTTTACAATATCGTTGATCACAATGGAATCTCGACTACAAGTAATAAATCTAATGGACATGGAGGCTATGGTAGTGGAGATGGCAATGGATAAGTGGTGTTGATGACGGCTGCATGGTGGCTGACGTGTAGGCCCGCGGTAGGTGGCCGATGTAAATATGACCGCATCCGGTGGTTGGCCAGCCGACATGTGGGGCCGCGGCGGATTGACGCGCGGCACACCCAATGTGTGTCCGCGTCTACGCGGGCACGAAGCAGACACGTTTGGGTTTGGGTCGGCGTTTTGAGCCATCGTTTTTGTTTGCTTCGATCCAAACGGACATGGATGGACGAAATGGCTCGTCGAGTTGGTGTTGCTCTAACGGACATGGGAGCAATTGTTCACCTTTTTCCCTCTACAAGGATCGTCCGTCTACAAAAGTAATTCCAATATTTCTAAAAAGGGAAGCGGTTCCAACCTACAAACTCTAGCAACACAGTAGGAGTGCCTGATAAGTGATAAGCAGGTAGATGCGCACGTAAGCTTTGATCGTGTAGACGCACGGTTCTTCCAATTTTGTTTTATTTTTGGAAAGGGAGGTTGCATGCAGCATGCCCGGCTTCTCGATCAGTGTCAATCAGTGTAGATGGGCAGTGACGACCACAACATATTCACGGCAAATTTGACTATTTTTGACCTGTGGACGAAATCAATTCACAAAATGAACTGCCCGTGAAACTATTTCACAGCACTGACCCTTTTGTGTAGCGCCCGTCACGCAGGCGCCACACCCTACGGTGCAGCGCCCAGCTCGGGGGCGTTGCACGTCAGTCCACCGTGGCAGTCCTTGGGCCCGCACCCAGCAGTGCAGCGCCTCCTAGCTAGGCGCCGCACATGTAATGTGCAGCGCCTAGCGTTCGGGCGCTGCATTGTGACTTATCCAGCGGCTGGGCCCCCCTCCCCCACTCCCCCCACCCCACACACCCCAACCCGAGCTTTGCCCCCTCTCCCACTCTCTCCCCCTCTCAAATCCTCTCCCAAAACTTGCAAATTTGAAGAATTTGTCCGTGGATTTCGAAGCCATACCCTCCCTCAAGGTAATCTTCTCCGATCCCTTGTTTTGATCCAAGTAATGCTAGTTTGGGAAACCCTAGTTTTGTTTGGATCTAGAGATTTGCATGGAGATGTGAGATCTTTGTTTGCCAATTTCCTATGATTAGGCTTTGTTAGTATGTTAGGGTTATTCTTATGGGTGTTCTTATGTTGGTGCTAGGGTTATGGTTAGGGTTATTGTTAGGGTTATGGTTAGGGTTAGGGTTATGATTAGGGTTAGGGTTAGGGTTGTTGTTTGATATATATATATATATATATATTAGGGTTTGTATTCCGTGTTAATCCTTAAATTAGTACTCATGGAAGCAATGTTACGATGTGTTGTTTGAATGCTTATAGGGATGGGAAGAACATGTGTGTTTGTTCATCATGGGGACAAAGACGCCTTCTTGAAAGGCAATATTGAACCGGATCCGGATGAGCTAGATATGTTGTTTGATAGTAGTCCTAGCTATGCGGAGCTCTTGCAACAAGTGAGGAAAGATTTGAATTGGATGGACCCTAGTGATATCGTTGAGTTGGAGGGAAGGCATAATGTAGGTTTTGGAATGCACATCCGTTGGAAGACAATGCGTATCAACTCGGAGCAACGTTGGGTTGCATACAAGGAAACGGTGGCCGATTCACTTGACAAGGCTCTTGAGTTATTTGCAACGAAGAAGGTTGATTCAAATTTGCATTTGGACTTGAACCGGAAACCCTCCCCTTTGGTTGCTAGTAGCCCCCCACCCTTGAATAGAGATGAAATTGTTGAACCTCTTTTGACCCAAGAAGTGAGGCCAACATTGAGCCCGTTTACAAACAACCAAGATGAAGCTTTGCAAGAGGACAATGATGAGTATGCAGATGATGACAATGAAGTTGATCTCCATGACAACAATGTGGGTGATCTTGACAAATATCATTTGCAAGATACAATGGACCATTCCATCCCTTTTTCCCGTTCATATGCATCGGATTCGGATGACGAAGGTCCCGATGAACAAGTTGATGAGGAGGGGTTCACGGTGAAGGAGGCCGAAGCTTTCGAGAAGGTATTCGGTCGGGATCACAAGGCACCATTGTTCAAGAATGCTAGTCTCACGGATGAAGCCGTTGTGGATGGTGGCAAATCTATATCTCTTGGGGTTAGGCCAAGCTCTCACCGTGATTTGGGAGACGACAAGAACCAGATTGGTAAAGGGTGTAAGTTCGAAACCTTCTTGGAACTGAAGATGTGGCTCGACAACTACTCGGTTACGCATTATCGTCCAAACAAGGTGGTGCATTCGGACGTCAATGTGCGCTACACGGTTGCATGTGCATGTGAAGATGAAATATGTCCGTGGATTGTGCGTGCAAGACCATGGAAAGGAGGTCCCGCTTGGCACGTAGTGAGTTGTGTGCCAACTCACATGTGCCGAGGCAAAAGGGTGGATGGCAAGATTGTGTCCCAAGACCACAGACAACTCACGTCTGAGTTCATCACTTACAGGCTCTCCAACTCAATATCCACACTTCCAACAATGAGCGTCCAACATGTCATTGACCTTGTGAAAGCCATCTTTCATTACAAGGTGAAGTACGGCAAGGCATGGAAGGCGAATCAAGCCGCATTTAAGATGTTGTATGGTACTTGGGAGGAAGCATACAACCGAATCCCTAGGTTGTCGTTAGCCATGGCCGCCACAAACCCGGGCATGGTTCATGTTGTCGAGCCTCATGGGCACCAAACAACGGTTTATGAAGGAAAGAAAGTCCGAGTATTTGGCCGTGCATTTTGGGCGTTCGAGCAATGCGTGAGGGCTTTCGAACACTGTAGGCCGGTCATCTCCATTGATGGCACGTTCTTGATCGGACAATACAAGGGCACCTTGTTGGTTGCGATAGCAAGTGATGCCAATAACCGGGTGTTGCCATTGGCATTTGCTTTGGTTGAGGCGGAGAACAATGACAACTAGGAGTGGTTTATGCGTCTTTTGAGGACAAAGGTGTTACCCGCTCAAAGGAAAATTTGTGTCATATCGGATCGGCATGCAGGAATTCTTAACACAGTGGAGATTGACATTCCCGGGCATGCTCCGTTGCACCATCGATGGTGCATGAGGCACTTTTGTTCGAACTTCTATAGGGCATGTGGCCTTAAGGAGTTGGCCGATGATCTTCAAGATTGTTGTCTTGCTTTCTCTGAGAAGCGGTTCGCCACTTTGTTGAACAAATTGCTCGCACACAAAAAACTTGATCACGGAGGTCAAGACTTTATGAATAGGCACATTCCCCACCGGAACAAGTGGGCATGTGCTTTTGATGAAGATGGCCGAAGATACGGTCAAATGACAAGCAATATGGCCGAATGCTTCAATAGGGTGCTCAAAGGTGCACGTGGATTACCCGTGACGACAATAGTTCAATACACATTTGACAAGATGAATGCGTACTTTCTAAAGTACTCAATGGAAACTGATGCACAGATAGCGGGTGAGAACCCGCGCAAGTACAAGTACAAGTTCCCACCCAAGGTTGATGAATGGTTAGAATTTCAATCACGAAAGGCGGACTCAGAAGAAGCTATATTATATGACAACGAAGAGTGGAAGTATGAAGTGAAAGAGCCAGGAGGAACCACAAACGATGGCCGGCAACAT